TTTTATATTGCAAACATTTGCGCTGTTATCAGTATTTGCACACTATTTTATATTATTTTTTTTGACAATCTTTAAAGTCATTATTCAATACATTGTTATTGTTAAATAAATATCGTCAAATAATTGAGATCTCAATTTCAGTGAAAATAATCGTGATTATCATTTTTGCCATAATCGAGCAGCCCTACCAGACGATGGCACTGAGTCAGAGGACTGCATATATAAACCATCTTTCATGGAAAAAAAATAGTCTGACACAGTCCACTACAACACCAACGTTGACCTGAATGATAAAGTATACTATTCAAACAACATATTACCTATGACTGGATATCACAGGCACCATGAGAGTAGGCTGTAATTAATAAAGTGGTCATTATATGTATATTACAAAAGCATTCAATTAAATTGGTAAGTGAATTTAAGTAAATCATTTCAAGCAGCAACTTAAAAAACTACTTTTGCAGTGGTTGAAACATGGATTACATCCCTCTGTTGCCAAGTTAACTAAATAAATAACTATCAGAGAGAAAGAAAGGGAGGGCAGAAAGCATCTGGCTTAACGAGGAAGAAAAGGAAGTGATGTCAACTGATCCCAGCTGCAACAGAGGAAATCCCACCGTTACCCACCCTTCCATTTTTACTTCCACTTGACACCCATGCTTCTTCTCCCTTCTATTTCCATGTTTGCCTTTTCTTTTGTTTCCTCAGTATGTCTCATCCATTTCAGCCTCTTTTCCTCTCTCCCCCTGTCACACACACTGATGTTTCATCTGTTTTCTCCTGCAGATAAAAGGCAGTTTGTTCTCCGCCTGATCCAGCTCATCGATCTGTTGGTCTTTTTTTTTATTGAGACCGGTCTCCCTACAGACAGACTCATCTTATGAAGGTCAAAGAATCCCTTTTTCTTATCTTGCTTTGGCTGTTGCCCAAACTCAGACATATCTGTGTCAACATCTAAAATGTTTCACATTAATATTTCTGCTACAGTCATTGCCCATACTGAGTGAACTATATCCCCATGGCAACAATCAACCACTTGCTGCACTGACAAGTGAGCTGATATTTTTCCCAGCTACACTTCCCTAGTGGCTCGAGGAAACTGCTACTGTGGTCCAGGCATAAACGACGTGATAAAAAGTGGGCACAAATAAATCTTAAAAACTATGCAATGTCAAGACATTTTTAACCACAAGTGAAAATACTAAATGATCTTACTGCTGATGCTGCTGGGTCATAAAACTTTGTACATTTGAAATAAAAGTGCAACACGGAGGGACAATAAGGTTGTTAAACCTTCTGGAGAAACTAAACTTTGTAAGCATTTCTAACATATCTGAGGTGGGACTCCATACGAGCAATTCTGTAAAAATGTACTTAATAAAGCTGACGACTGAAATTAAAGCTTTGGCTCTCATTGTCTGTTAACTGCCAAAATAACTGCCCTGACATGTTACCAAGTTGGTGGCGAGACTTCCTTCTAGAAGGAAATTGTCTAAGCCTTTAAAACTAGTGTTCCTACGCTAACATTAAATGATTTATGGGGTCAATTCCAGAAATTTCATACACGATCAACTGGGATATCACCAAATATTGTTGTGGACTTTACTGAAATATAAAGCACAGCATAACCTTATTTGTAAGCACAATTATATTTAACATTAAAATATAATACACAGTGAGTCTAGCCTATATTGGTCAACAGTCCCACAGACAACACGAACTATATAACGACACTTCCTTCTCATTTGGGTTTTCAGTGTTTCTTTCCTAACAGCAGTCGTCTAAATCAGTATGAGCCCTTGTTGACACAGAGATGAAAATCTTATTAGAGTGTGCATGTTCTGGCCCTTTTCACAGCAATCAGGGTCACTGGTCCCCATCTGTTCTGTATCTAACTTTTCATCATCTGTGTGTGCGCATGCTGGCAAAACACACCAAGTCAACAGCCCATGTTTCTACTTACTCAAAGTCTCATTTGCACGATGTTACTTAAAAACCTTTTAAAGTAGCCGCATAACATCTCCAAGTGTCAGCAGACTTAGACACATAAAAGTGTGGTTTCAAGAATATTAGAGCGCAAAGGCAGCCTGGGCATGTGTCCTGGGTGACAGGTTAACCACTCAACCATTTGGCTTGTAAGTGGAAACTTTTTTTAATGTCAGACTAGAAACAATAGAGCGAGATCGGGCTCTAACAATACCGATATCAGGCAACAAAATCTTATCTGTGTCAAAGTTGGTGTTTTAGGTCATCTGAGTAGATCAAACTAGCAGAAAGAAAAAGCTACTTTCACAAGTTCACAAACAAACTGCTGCTCTCAAGTCTCAAACAATGTAACGATCTTACTTGATGTCAGTGCTACTTTAACCAGGCCAAAGAGAAACATAGTATCACTTCAAACAGGATACAGGCGTAATCAGTGCTAACACTAATCCACACACGACCCAAGAGCAAAACATTTCTTGCTAACAGCAAAGTACCCGTGTCAGGCAGATTGCTGTAAAAGGAACCAAAGAAAAAGTCATAACAGAAATAACCATTAAGAAATTAAAAATACCCATTCTGTCAATTTTAACATGAAAATTTAGAGCAGCAGGAGCCGCCAGTAACTCTTACCTGAGTGCTGAGTATTGCAAGGCTGATGGAACGACGTCTCTCTGTCTCGGTGGATCTACAGAGAAACAGGAAGACACTGAATCACTCTCAGCAACATGTGATCATCACCCACAAAGAAATAATGATGCAGACCAGCATGTCTGTTAGGAAGTGTTCCTCCGAACACAGGATGGGAGGCACCGATAAGACACCCTTTATAACAGCGGTCTTAAGAGTATTCACGGGATTTAGTGACTACACTCGGGCTCTATCTCCATCCCCCCCGAGGAACTGTCTGAAAAGATCCAACTTTTTCAGCCTTCAGCGCTCACAGTCACACTGACACCAACTCACACACACACGCAGTGCCTGTCAGAGCTCTGTGGCTGGCTGTGAACACACAGCGCTGTGGCTCCGCTTCCTCTGTGGTCTCTACAACAGCTGTGTATATGTGTGCGTGCATTTGTGTGTGTGTGTGTGTGTGTGTGTATGAGCTGGTTTTAGCTACAAAAGCCTCAGACTCCCTCCCTCCCATCTTTGCAGGCAACACAAAAGATTCGACAGTTCGGACGAAGCTGTGCAGATTTGACTGACAGCACTGAATGTGAAACTAAGAGTCAGAGAGAAGCTCATTGTGTTTTAATGAACTCCATCAATTATATCTAGCTAAAGATGATGAACTTTGACTTTCAATGTGTGGTTCAAAGCCAGATTACCAAACCCAGACGCTTCAGATAATTACAAACCTCATGCTGATTGAAAATGCAGTTTCTTTTAAAGGGTCAAGTGCTTTCTGAAGTAAACTGAAGCTACTGTCATTTACACATATCGTCTATAAGATGCTTGTACGACCTCCTTCAATAATTTGTTTCCTCTTTTCTTTAACTTCCTCCTCACTTTAACATTTAACTCCCAGCCCCAGCAAGCTCGGATCAACACGCTTTAGCATGACCCTGTAAACTTTAAGATTCATGCAAAGAAACCTGAAGGAGCAGTATAAACAGGTCGCTAGTTTAAAGACCTCAAATGTTCATCTGATGAAAGAATTGTTGGAATCAAAGACAGCTGTCCCCCACAAGCTTAATTCACTGTGACTGTATGGATGCTGTAGCTTTTATCATACAAGTAAAAGTGGTTCTGTAATGGCAAAAACTGAATACCTTCAAATGGACAGGCCAGTGATCAGAGTAGAAAAAACAAAAAAAGGGGAACAACTTACTTTTTTTTTTGTTCGATAAGATCAAGTCTGTGTTTAGCTAGCAGCTAGTTAACTTCGCATGAAATAAAGACAAAGGCAGCACACTAAAACAGCTTGTCTCACTTTTTTTCCAAAGGTAAGAAGTAGAAGTAGTATCTGCTTGCAATTACAAGCAGAGGCTGAAAAACGCCCGTTACAGTATCCCAGAGCTTCCAGACCAGCATCCAAGGAAGCAGAAGATTTTTCGACTGAGGTTCAGACTGCGAGGGCCTGAGCCCTTGACAGCCACCCAATCCAAGTGTTACTGAACCCTGATGGCCCCTCCTTGTTGGTGGTGGTCCAAGTAGTTACTTCAGACACTTAAGGATGTGCTGAGGCCTGGCCCCAGGCACTCACCTCGATCACGCCTCCTCCCAATTCCTCGTCCCATAACTGTCAAGTACACACACGCTGCTGTTCAGTATGCTGCCCAAAGGCACTGGAGAAGCCAGGCATTTCGTTGCATCGCAAATGTTAGAGTCATAAGCAACAAAGTAACAAAACAGACTATTAAAAACAAAAAGAGGAAAAGAAGTCATAGCTAAACAAGACTTAATATAATGTTCAGGGGGAAAAAAGAGAAGAGAGACTGAAACAAAAAACAAAAACAAAAAAAACCCATATAACACAGAATGATAAGTGAGTCCAAGCCAACTAACAAGGTCAACCCACCCCCAGAATGCTTGACGGTGAGGGAGCTGATCTCAGCTTTTATAAAACGAACCCTGTGCTATCTATTGAGGAGCCCACTGAGAAGCAGAGAAACACTGCACTCTGTTTTCCAGGCCTGGGAGTGGCACGTATGATCTTCCCATTTGCATTCCGACAAAGACACTGACAACTAATTGCATACCAAGTGGCCCCATGTACAGGCACCTACATCATGCATGCATGCACCCACATGACAAACACTCACTTATGCTTCCTTTCCCCACCCTCATCGAGTCTCGCATGCACACAACAAAATCCCCCACATTCACAGATGCATGCGTAGAACACACAGACTTCTTCTTCGTGTCTCACAGCTGTGTTCAGATATCAAACGGAGCCCGCTGACAGAGAACAAACACGCTGACGAGGAAAGACTAGCTGGTCACGAAGGGCGCCAGCACGCGCACACAAACACAGACAAACGTGGACACATAAATGCATACACAGGTTCTGGTCAGAGGTAAAATGACTGCCAGAGATTGCAAAAAATTAAAAAGGAAAAAAAAAAGGACAACAAGACTCGACCCTTAGCAGAGGACAGGAACAGCAGGACAACTTCAGAACAAAGAATTCAACGAGGCGAGAGAAGCAGCTCTGTGTGTTTTAATACTCTACTCCACAGTGTGTTTTGGCCCTAATTATAAAATGAACTGAACCCTTAAGTTTGATGAAGTATGAAGTGGATACTTTACCTAAGAAGTAGTGATACAGTGTGTGCAAATTCCTCCTTTTAATACACGAATATTACTCAAACATTACTGCTGTATTTCCTTTAATTTTTGGCAGTGTGTTGCAGGCTAAGGTATGAAAGGTGAGTGCACACAGCTCAGTCTGGACAAAACAAAAGCCTTTTTGATTTCAGTCACAGCATCAACTTCTTTCTCCTCTCAGTTCATATGTTCTAATTCAGTTCCATCATGCCTACTGCAGAGCAGCTACAATGCTTGCACAAAAGTCATTGATTTGCTTAAGGACAAGTCATTTTTATGATTGTTTCACTGAGAAAAACATCGACTCAAAGGCAACAACATACTACCAAGAAACAATTTAAGGGCCATAAAAATGATGAGAAATAAAAAAGGAGGGAAAAAGTCAGAGGCACACGCACATTAAAAATGTGTTTATTTTTCCTCACAGACGCACCATGGATAAATGTGACAGGCGATGTGGTTAGTATGCTCGATATAAACCAAGACGCACAATGATTCAGCCAGTAAAGCAGCCACTCATTTTAGTTGAAGAAATCACACATTTATCAACTCAGCAGTTAGCAGGTCTGCTAAACAGCTAGCCATTTAGGAACTGGTCCCCCGTCTGAAAGCTGGCAGCCTCGATTCTGAACAACACAGAGCATATTTGTATTGCCGGGGGAATCTAAACTGTACCCAGTAAAAACACATCTGGTTTAAAAATAAAAAGGCGGGATGGTTTGTCTATACGCCGGGGCACGCAGGACTTGGACGGCTGCCTTGTTTCTAAACAGGCAGGCGGCCAGTGAGGCTCTGCAGCACTGAAAGATGCCATGGTGGAATGAATGACTGTATCCAGTCCAGCATGTATACATGGTCTCATCCCTGAGGCCTGGTAACAGCAAACCCGTGGATGAATCTCCTCTGGGGTTCACCTTGGAAGGACTTTTATGAATTGTTGCATTCATAGAATGATCTTGTGATTAACGCTATAAAAAGATTGCAATAAAAAGGGTCAAGAAGGTGCCACAAATAGAACAGCTACTTTTCGTATCTTTAAATCACATCACAAATGCTCTGAAAGAGCCCAAATAAAGAAATATCTGGGTTTGCCAAACCAAGAGTGTAGTACAACAGAATATACACCTATTAGCCTAAACATTAAACATTAAACATCCAGCCTGTTATTCTGGAGGTTCCCCTTGTGCCACAAGGCAGCTCTTACCCATCTCTGGACCCAGATGGTTTAGGAGTATGTGGCATCTGGTGCCTGAATGTTTGGGTCCTGCAGATGCTCGCTTAAGATCTGGATATTTATGGCACATTGGGGCCATACTGGGGTGTGCTTGTTCTGCAGTAATGTTTAGGTAGAAGTATAACCTGACACCTGAAGGCCAGCACTCAAGATTTCCCAGCAGAACATCGCAATAAGATTCACTTTATCCGTCAGTGGTTTTATCGTTTATGGCTGATGGGTATATTTACTGTAGTACTATGTTAGTATAAAGGGTTATTCACAGTTACTGTAGATGGTAAGTGGAGTGATGATGTGTTTTGTGATTCCAGGCCAGCAAAGATGCTGGGATGTGAAACACTGGTTGGAATGAAGTCATTTGGCCGAATGCCTGTTTCCATCTGAGGCCAGAGGAAACCGTTAGCCCAGAGCAGCCTTTTTCCCACACCATCATATCTCTACCTCTCTCTCTCTCTCTCTAACTCACTTGCACACACCCTTGCTATTTCATACCCCCGGGGTAAAGAGGAGCTGACATTTGGAACAAGTTTAGAAAGTGACAACAGACTAAAGAGAGGTGTTACATATACCAGAGCAAGTCTCTTCACTGATTTTCCTCTGCTCTGCCCTGAGTCTGGATGTCACGACCAGCAGACACTGTGACAGTAAACACCCCATATCAAACGCCCACTGCTGCGTAGTTACTAGTTTATTTTATGCACGATAATTAATAGTCCAGCCATCAGTAACTGATTATTAGTTTAGATTATAGTTTATAGTCATCAACCAATAGGAAGCAGTCTAGCTGAGTCATTGGCTAAGTGCGACTTAAATAAAACGAGGCTCATCACAGTCTGTTGACACCTATTATGGTTCAATTTTACAATTACAAACAGTTCTAAATGACTTTACAGTATTTGCCTTTATCACATAATAATTAAGACTAAAACTGTCTGAAACAGAAACCTATTTAAAATAAAGAACCAGACAAAGTGAGGGTATTACAGTTTAAAGGGAAAGAAACAGCAAAACCAGATACATCGTAATTTCACTTATTTTTACAATGTTTGCAATGCTGACGACAGACTTTACCATGCTTTTTGAGTAAATATATTACCATCTACTCTAAATAGCTACATAGATTAGTTTTTACAGCCTGTGAAATTCTTTCCCGAGTCTGTATCTAGAAATTATCTCTAGATCGA